ACAAGAGCCGGGTGTTGGTGGCTTAGGCCTGTTATCCTAGCTACTCAGGAGTCTGAGATCTGAGGATCACAAGCTGGGCAGAAAAGGACCTGTGAGACTCTTATCCCCAATAAACTACTCAAAAAAAATCCAGAATTGGCGGTATGGTTCAAGTGGTAAAGCACTAGTCTTCAGAACAAAGAGGCTCAGGAACAGCTCCCAGGCCTTGAGTTCAAGCCCCAGGACCATCAAAAACAGTTTAAAAGTGCCTTCTGTGGGAAAAATTAAAATGTCTCAGATAATGCAGATGAAGTACAGAGGTTTCTAGCTACATAAATAATATGTTGTGAAATAATATGACTACTCGAGAGTTAGTGTTTTTAAAGGTAAATTCAGTATGCACTTCTAGCTGACTTGTGAGTGTCGTTTAGCTATACATTCTGATAAAATGGCACATTTAGGAAGTCACATTTTCCCACTAACTGTGCAACTTATTTGTGATTTAAAATATGCCCACGGTAGCTAAGCCTGGGGAACATTGAAGCCAAACCATTGCAAAGAAATGGCAGCTTTTTTTCAGAGTTAGAGCTCTTCTCAAATATGGAGATTCATCCCAGGGAACATGACATCCTATCAGATTTCCTAGAAGAACTGTCATATTCCCCTTAAACCTGAGATTTCAAAATGAAATTCAGTCATAACACTTCCTTTAATACTATGTCCTTTATTAAGAGCTTATCTAAGTATGAAAATGTGTGTGGGTTACAGTCTGGACCAATTTGCTAAACCTGAGCCAAAAGTCAGACAAAATAAGTCATAGAGCCTTTCAATAGGAATGATGCACAACAATTTCACATTGTTGTTCTTCAAGTGAAAATTATCCTAAATCAGACATAACATAGTGAAGAAGTGAAGAAGAATGACAGGATTAAATGACAGAATTAAGTTAGATATAACATATCACACATATAATTAGGTGTCAGAAGCTTACTATCTACTTATAAATGGTAAGTTTATTTTTTACAGTTACTATAAATAGTGACTGATAATAATTAACATCTCAATCATGGGAAAAATGAGAGTTAAACATAATCGTAGTATGTTGAAGTTCATATATATTAAAAAATAAATTCATCACTTCTTTAATGGAACGCTATTGGTTAAGGACATGTACATGTGCTTATGAACTCAGAGGCAATACTATGAATGAATTAAATAGTGATTCTTATCTACAGGTACAAATGAACATTGTCTAAGCAGCTTTAAAATTTCTATGTGCAGAGGCTCATCTGAAGCCAATTTAACCAGAATCTTTGTAGCCAGTGCTGGGGACTCATATGTACAGTGGATATGCTTTTACTTTGCTTCCACCACACACACACACACACACACACACACACACACACACACACACACACAATTTTAGAAGCAATGCTCATTTATAGGAAATTCACATGGCATAGAGTAGAAAAGACTTTAAAATCAACTCTGCTTGTCCGCAGGGAATTTATATTATGGATGTCCTGCTCCGTTCGAAAACATTAGTATTATTTAATTGATTTGTGCTCACAGAAAATGTAATGTACAATTTATGTAAAGTGACAAATGTATCCAAAGCTGACACAAGGGGTATACTTTGGGCCAATTCCTGGCTGTTACTGAAGCTTGACAAAGGCAATCAAAACAGACCATGCCTAGGGGGAAAAAATAAAGCTCTTCATTTTTGTGTCAATTTCAAGAATGATTACCTCTCAAATAAACTTGAACAGAATTTTATTTTTTTATTTTTCTGACATTTATAAACTTAAAAGAGTTCTAGGATAGCTCTTTTTATTTTATTTTATTTATTTTTTGCTGATCCTGGGGCTTGAACTCAGGGCCTGGGCACTGTCCCTGAGCCTCTTTGTGCTCAAGTGTTCTTCCACTTAAGCTACAGCACCACTTCTGATTTTCTGGTGGTTAATTGGAGGTTAGAGTCTTAGAGACTTTGCTGCCGGGGTTGGTTTTGAACCATGAATCTCGGGGCTCAGCTTCCTGAGTAGCTAGGATTACCAGCATGAGCCCTGGCCTTTTCTGAGTGGTTTATTGTGCCTAAATCCCACAGACTTTTCTGCCTGTGCTGGCTTCGAACAGCGACCCTCAGATCTTAGCCTCCAGAGGAGTGAGGATTACAGGCATGAGCCACCAGCGCCTGGCTGGGTAGTTCTTTTAAAAAGAAAAATTAAGTAGACTTCTAAAAATGAATCATTTTTTAAACTGGATAAAAGAAAGACAATATGATAAAAATAATTTTAATGAAAATCACAAATGTTCCAATGTTTTTGAGATATAAGTATTTTTATAGATTCTCATGTGTTTATTTGTGTTTCTCTGTATTCATGTTTTTTGAGGACTTTTATAAATACTAACAATTTTCAAAATCTGAACTTCAATGAAATAATTATTTAAACTTGGTCACTTCATTCAACACAATAAATAGTTTAAAATTATATCCTTGTTACATTTGAGTAAAATATTCTTTTAAATAACTTCTTTCCCATACCATATCTCAGCATTTGAATCTACTATTCTTTGAAATAACACACTCCATTTAGTTTGTTTTCATTGGACTATAATTAACTGAGCTGACAATTATATTCAAATACTGGGTTGGGATTCAATTAATAAACTATGAATGCAAAAGACCTGAAAATCAGGACTGAGATTCTATCCAAAAGTTGTTCAAACTACTTTACCATAGTTCTCAAAGTGTATTGACAAAGCCACATGAATCAAGAGATTTCTGGAAATTTCTCTGACCTATTTTCATCCTCTGATATGTGATTGCTAGGAAAACAATAAAACAGTACTTTCATGAAGGCCCTCCTTTTATGATTTTTGGTCTTGATCTAGTATCTAAATAGTCCAAGACAATACTTTGTCTCATAGAAATAAAAATGCTAAAGTCTTGACTTTGAATTTTAATCACAATAACATTTCAGAATGTGTTGGTAAAGGCAGGTTAGCCTAAGTTATTAATGGAAATAAGCAGTCAATTTAGTCTTATTATTTCATACATTAGAGTCTTACTTTGGTCAAGGAAAAACCTTAAGATTAGAGTGGTTGGTCCAAGGTAGAAACAAAAGTGGTGATTTGAGGTTGCTAAAGATCCATGTGGATTTTGAACCATACTCCTTGCTATATATTATAAAATAGATAAAATGCTTATTGAAGATTACACTAATACCAATGAAAATTAAAATCATAATTCACAAGTAGATTCATTTTCCTGACTGTGTTAATGAGACCATGTGATGTGTGAGATTAGGCTCACAGAGTGTACCCAGCACACACAAAGAAAATGGAAAATCTCACGGAATCAGAAATATACCTGAATTAATGTAGTCATAATAAATAGACATGTCGGAAGTGGCGCTGTAGCTCAAGTGGTAGAGTGCTTGCCTTGAGCCAAAGAGCTAAGGGACAACGCCCAGGCCCAGAGTTCAAGCCCCACGACCGACAAAAAATAAATAAATAAATAGACATGTCAAAAGGGTGCTTCACATATTTTATACTTCTCAAAAAAATCAAACAAAGCCTCCAAGGTAGTGTCAAAACTGCAGGACTCACAATGCCAGCGAGGCTGGGAAACAAGCCCTAACAGAAGGCCTGGGACAAGGAATAGCGGGACTGCCATTACGAAAACGCACTGAATCTTCACTTGGGTCTGGGCATCTGGTAACTAAAATCAGCACAAATGCTTAGCTTCTCTACTTTCATATGGCATCTGCCTTCTTGACCAACTTAAACTTTGTGTCAGTTTTCTTTACATCTCTGTATCTAGATATAAATCCTAAAATAGCAATCCTTTCTCTTTAAAGATGAAGACAGCAAGAGAAGAGTAATCAAGACGTCTTTAAGCTCTGCAGAAACGTCTTAAACCACTGAGAGTTCAGTGTTCTTTATGCCCTGCTCCAGTTTAATGGTCTCATGTCCTAAACCTAAAGAAACCAATCCCATCTTTCTGTTCTTCCTCTGTCATTCTCTCCTGTGGTCATCTTGGATGCAGGAATGACAGACGTGACTGCGAAATTCTTAGTTGAAACCACTACCAGGAAGCAGCTTTTCTGTCACTGACAAGATGTTTCACAGTCCTCATATGTCAACAAGCAACTTGAACAGAGGGAACAAGACTGTTTGACTATGAATTCACAGCCTCATTTTTAAGCTCTGTTAACACCCTGAAACAAGCCTGAGAAAATCCTGTCTTTATCCCAAGGTCCAGCCCACTATGGTTATACCAAACAATTTCATATTTAACTATGATGAATTTTTTTAACCAATATGGAACAACAAATAGAAAGGCAGAAGTAGGTGGAAATAAGATCAAAGCACTAAGAGAGGACATGAAATCTTGGCTTTGATGTTAACTAGGCATTTGAAGTTTATCATATTGTTATAACTTTCCAGGCCTTATAATACCCATTTATTTAAAAGGAAAAAAAAACACAAAGGTTTCCTTAGAGGTTTAACTGAAGGAGTGGTGCCGTGGCTCAAGTGGTAGAGTGCTTTCCTTGAGCTGAAGAGCTGAGGGACAGCTCCCAGGCCTATAGTTCAAGCCCCACGACCAACCAAAAAGAAAAAGAAAGAGGCTTAACTGAGGTACTGTAGGAGATACCATCTAAGGTGAAGAAAAATTATAGTAATAAACTCTAGCTGTTATTATCATTAGAACAGTAATGATTATTAATATGATTGTACATGATGTTAGTATTTCTGACCACATCCACAGCAAGAACAGACAACTTATTGGTTTTCATATACCAAGGCTCAGAAAATTCACTGCTTTAGGGTTTATATTTTAAATATTATGACAGAAGAGAAGCAAATATGCAATGAATCCTGCTGCAAACCAGTGGATTATTCATGTTTATTTTAAAAGATGGATGTATTCCCTGAACAATGGCTTTACAGAGTGGGTGTTTTTAGGGTTTGTTAATGGCCTTATTGATTTCACAGTGAATGAGTGCAGTTGTCTTTACCTGAGAAGAGAAGGAATGGCCATCAGAACCACAAACAGGGCTGGTGTACACTCCTGAGCACTGCTTGCAAGTGGATGATGTGAGGCTTCTCCATGGCTTCTGGCCTGTCCCTGTTTCTTTCATACTGCCAAAGAAAGAAAGAAAGCAAACAACCATGAAATACTTGCTTTTAAGAATACATTCGTATTGCTGGGTGCCACTGATTCACATTTGTAATCCTAGCGCCTTAGGAGGCTGTGATCTGAGGATTGTTTCAAAGCTAGCCAGGGAGAAAGCCAGTGAGACTCTTATCTCTAATTAATCATTGAAAAATCCAGAAGCGGAATTGCAGTTCAAGTGGTAGAGTGCTAGCCTTGAGCAGAAAAGCTCAAAGATAGTGCCCAGATCCTGAGTTCAAGCCCCAGGATAGGCCCCCAAAAAATTAAAAGGAAAAAGAATACATTCACATTAACCTTACTGTTTTCCCTTGTCCTATCATCTCGAGTATTCATTGGCATCTGCAAGGTGGGTTCTCATTTTCAGTATATTAATTCATGCAGTGTTCTTCAAAATGATCTTTTGTTTTGTATCTCAAGGTTTTTCCCTCTAGAAACAGAAGCAACATTTGCACAACAAAACAGAACTCAGCCATCTGCACCTTCTTCAAAGCTGCCTTTGAGTTCGCTTAAGAGCAGTATGAAAAAGAGACATCTAATTCACTATTGGCTTGAAAATAAGTGAAACTTACTTTTATAGAAAATAGAAACAGAGATCTCAAATTTTGCTGGTATTTAGACAGCCAAATTAGTAGGTTTAGTGAAAATAACCCCCTTTTATTGCCAAGAAGTCTAAAAAATGGATCCATTGGGCTTTGATCTAAAATAACTTAGGAAAACCCACTGTCTTCTGATACCAACATGTGAAGTTATTTTCTTTCTCACTTTTATTAAATTACTTTATTCTCTCTATTTTTTTTTTGTTGCTGTTGGTTTTGTGGCTTGAACTCAGGACCTTAGTACTGTCCCTGAACTCTTTTTGCTCAAGGCTAACACTCTACCACTTTGAACCACAGTACTACTTCTGATTTTCTGGTGGCTAATTGGAGATAAGAGTCTTATGGGCTTTCTTGCCTGAGCTAGCTTTGAACCATGATCCTCAAATCTCAGCCTCTTGAGTAGCTAAGATTATAAACATGAACCCTCTGGCACCCGGCCTATCCTCTCTATTTAAGTGAACTATTACACAGAGGCAGGAAGGGCTTAAAAACTAGAAGGAAAGCAATAGGAAATAAAATTTAAAAACACGAGTCTCATTAGTGATAATTGTACCCCCACCCAAGATAGTATTCTGTCATTCAGGTGAAAACAAGAATGGTAAAACATCTAGTACTTTCCTTTCTTTTCAGTGTTTATCATATTTTTATGAATAAGCTAAATCTATACAAAAGTAGACTCATAATACCAAACTATTGAGAATTATTGTAAAGTTTTATATTATAAAAAAGGAATTCAAATATGAGTTTCAAATCAGTTAAAATTTGAATGGAAAACATATATTTCCCTCTCTTTTTCTTTCTTCCTCATTCTTTTCTCCTGTTCTTTCCTAAAACATTTTCATATATACTAAAGTAGAAAGTTTATCTCTTCTTTTAAATATTGTAAATTATGCTAAAAGACCATTTTATACTTTGCCTGCTATTGAATTTATTTTGTAATAAGCAAAATGAAAAAAAGAGAAATAAAAACAGTTTTACTAGCCATGTCCTATCAGGATTTGCAAATGAACTCAGACCATAAAACCACACCAATTGTTCCCTCTCCAAATACATGTATTAGCAGATTTTGTTTCTTTTTTTTTAGCTTTTCTTAATAAAGAATATTTTATTATACTTAACCAGATTTATAGTAAAAATATCATATGTCTATAGATTTTGTAAGTATACAACTTTAGGTACCCTTTTGAATGATATTATTTCCTCCTTACATAAAATATACAATCTTAAAAATCTCAGTGAAATATCTCTAGTTAAAAGATTATTAGGAAGTCTTTCAAAAATATTTTGTTACTTTTTACTGCTGTCCAAATAACTTCTCATCTATGAACCTATTAACAATTCTGTCTATACTACAAAGAGCCTATCTTTTATTACTCATACATATACACACTTTGTTTTTAGGAGCTATTATACAATCTGAGAGTAGCAGAGGAAGAGAATTATTGAACACATGGAGATCAGATTTCATTTGCAGACAAAATGATCACTGTTGCTTGGGTGGGCTTTCCAATAGTACAAGAAGTGACAATCTATAACCTATGTTACCATCTCAAAGAGTTTTGAGTTCCTAACATTGGTACCTTTCCTTTTGTATTTTCTTACTTTTCAAGCACATATGCTACCAATATATTGTTGCTTCTTTTCTCCCGGAGACTGAGATGCTTTTATATAGTTTATCAATTATAAGAATCACATGTATGATTTCTGTTGGAACCCAACCCACACCAGTGGAGATTCGTGAGATCTGAGGCCAACTAAACCATGTGTCCATATGCTGGTGGCAATACGCCTTCTTCCTTGCTTCTATCCCTTCTAGTTCTGAAGTTGAGCTGCTTAGAGGAAAGGCCATTTTGCAGCCTAAAAATATCTCTAACCTACTCATTGAGGCTCTCCGCTCACAAGCCAGCAGAGCAGCTGGGCAGTGAAAGATGTCATTGTAATCACTGCATGCGATTGTTTACAAATCAGATTTAACACAGCATCCTTCTGGAGTGACCGGACCATTTTGACATCTGGGCAATTTACCCAATCACATTCTTGATTTTCCTTTAGTTCAATCATACTTCCAGAAATAGTGTCAAAGTGGAAGAATACATTTGTTTTCTCTGTCGGCTGGAATAATGTACTGGAAACTCACTAGCTAAAAAACCCCAGAAGTTTAAGTTCTCATAGTCAAGGAGGTTGAAAGTCTGAAATTAGTATCATAGGACTGATATCAAAGGGTTAATAGAGCTACGTTCTGTGGGGTTCCGCGTCTGTCAGTATGTTTTTGCTCTTTCTGCCTTATGGTGTCTGTTCACATAGGAGATGACTGTACATTCCCTCAGTATGGGAGGAATTTTCTATACCGAAATAGCTGCTGTCTCTCTTATAAGGATATACGTGATAGTGTTTAGAACTCATTCTGGCAACCCAAGATAAATTCCTCTTCTGAAAGGTCTTAATTTAATCCTATCTTTCACCACATAAAGTAACAATTTATTGTACTGGCATAGAAATCTTTGATCTGCAAATGAGGGTCATGGCATATTTGGGACTATCCTAAAGCTAACTTCAGAATGGATAAGAGGTAAAAGAGAGATTTTTGTCTCTTAAAAGTAAGATGTGAGCCAGGCGCCAGTGTCTCACACCTGTAATTCTAGCTACTCAAGAGGCTGAGATCTGAGGATCATGGTTCAAAGACAGCCCAGGCAGGAAAGTCTGTGACACTCTTAGCTTCAATTAATCACCAGAAAACTGGAAGTGGTGCTGTGGATCAAGTGGTAAAGCGCTAGCCTTAAGCTGAAGAGCTGAGGGACAGCTCCCAGGCCAAGAGTTCAAGCCCCACAACCAACAAAAACAAAAACAAAAAACAAAAAAAATAAGATGTGAAACCATGGGACCTATGTTTCTTTGGGTCTGACTTACTTCACTTAATTTTTTCCAAGTCTTTCCATTTCCTAATAAATGGGCCAATGTCATCCTTTCTGATCCATCAGAAAAAATGACATTGCCCCATTTGTTAGGAAATATGTAGATAGACAGACAGACAGACAGACAGACAGACAGATAGATAGATAGATAGATAGATAGATAGATATGATATATATATATATATATATATCACATTTTCTTGATCCATTCATTTACTGAGGGGCATCTGGGTTGGTTGCATATCTTAGTTATGGTGAATAATGCTGCAATAAACATAGGTGTGCTGGTAGCTTTAGTATGGTCATGTTTGTGATCATTTAGGTAAATGCCCAAAAGTGGGATTGCTGGGTTGTATGGGGAGCTCTGTGTGCAGTCTTGAGGAACCTCCACTTTCCAAAGTGGTTCCAGTGCCCTGCATTTTGTATATACATTTTTCTGATTTGGGGAGGGGACGGGAAATAACAAAATGCTGAAACAAGGATATAAGTTGACTCAATGAGACCTACAAGACACTATGTTGAAAACTAACTTTACAACTTCAGGGGTGGGGGGAGGGTGTAGTAGGGGAGGAGGAGAGGGAAGGGATAGTAGGGAACAAACAAAGGAGGGGGTAACAATGCTCTACAAGAAATGTACTCATTACCTTACTCATGCAACTGTAACTCCTCTGTACAATATCTTTATAATAAAATATATAATAAAAAGATGTGAAAGATATCTTAAGTAAATACAGACTTACATACATATTATAACTAAACTCAAACCAAGTCCTTTAATTGTAAAGAGAGAATGGCTGGTCAAGAGTGGATGTGTTTGGGACTTAGACATTTCCTGTTAGAGATATGTTCTTTGCTTACCTTTGTTCCATATGCAAGGGTGACTGATATTCAACTGTAGGCTTCTAGCCTATATACTTAACATTTGTCTTAAATCTCAGTGAATTATAATAACATTTTATTCCCCCCCCTTTTCTTTTTGTTGTTGTTTTCTGTGGTAGTGGTCGTGGGCCTTGAACTCTGGGCCTGGGCACTGTACCTGAGCTCTTCAGCTCAAGGTGAGTGCTCAGTTTCTTGAGGCACAGCGCCATTTCTGGTTTTCTGTTTGTTTATTGGAGATAAGAGTCTCACTGGCTTTCCTGCCCAGGCTGGCTTTGAATAGTGATCCTTAGGTCTCTCAACCTCCTGAGTAGCTAGGATTACAGGCATGAGCCACCAACACCTGGCTTTTATTTTTTTTCTACTGTCCTGAATTTTAAGGAAACACCAATTTTGCAGTTTGGCAAAGCAGATTATGATTTCCACACTTCTACAGAGTTAAAAATAAAAATACCAGAGTTACATTTTAGCTCTTATTGTAAATTACATTAGTAGAAGAGAGAATGGAAATTATGACATGTTCAACTCTTTGTTTTATGAATTTAGCTGTAGTGATCATTGTGAAGTTTGAAGAATGTAGTA